TAGGCTTTCGAGCCTATACAGCTTGGAGTAAGACAACATGCATGAAGAGGATGATGTGGACAAAATACTCATTTGCCTAATAATTCTGCACTCCCTGTATTGCAAATTTTTAGGATACTATTTTAAAGTGCTTGTAAAACCTTTGGAAAGTTACAAAGGCTAAAGTCCATGCCCAACATTACTTCTGGCAGTTCAGTTCTGTCAAGTTCAAGATCCTGATAAATCACCTGATCTCAGTGCTAACCCACATCACCCAGTGGCTCAGCTAAGATCCTTGTACAAATCTAACTAGTAAATCTCACATAAGGCATACTTTAAGCTGCCTTATCCTACCTTCAGTATAGATCTGCAAGCTGCTTGGAACCCAGCTCCATATTTCATGTCATGTTTCCATATTTGATTGTGGCTGACTGTCTTGTTGCTGCTCCCCCACCTCTGCCTTTCCAAGTATGTGAATGGAAAGGTGAAGCCTTCTGCCAAATATGAATTACTGCAGATGGAACAGAAATTGTTTTTGCCTATAGTGGTCTTAGATGAAATGTGGTTATTTTCAACATCAGAAAACACTGCAGTTAAGCTGCAAAAAAGTTTGTTTGTAGTCCAAACTTTTCTGGTATCTATGTAACTTTGGTGGCATAATAACCACTAAGAGTCTACTTTAAAATGCAGTTAAACAAAGAATGAAGAGCTGCTCCAGCTAAATCCAGATGCACCCATCTGCACCTGGATAGCCTGCCATTATTTCCTTGATAGAGCTGGTTTTCATCACTTTTAACTGTGAAATGTCTGAGCTACAGCACACCAAATTTTCTGTTACCGGCTGAGCAAAGCATCCAGTGAAATTAATATGTAGGAAATATACAATATCCAAACATGATATATATTTGGAGATACATTAGAGTGTGGCTAAGGGTAAATTTGACTAATATTACCGCCTGTTTATTCTCTTCCACTCTGTGTACTTCTATAAACTGTATTTTAAAACAGCAGAATTCCTAATAAACCCATTCTCCCTGACACGCTTTTCTGTTTTTCTAATCAGACAAGGGAACAACTGTAAAATAGTGACAGAAGCTCATAAAGACTAATGTAAACCAGGCTATTTTTCAATCTGCAGCTATTAAGTGTTAAAATCCTGAACTTGTACTAATTATGCTGTGTGACAAATTTATGTCTGTGCTGCAATGTTAGCTATATTTTTCAGCTACTGTGAGGGCGTAGCCTTCTGGCCTAGGCTTGTGTACCATCTTAATTTTCTGTAGCTGCATTAAAAAAACCCTCTCATATTAAATACACCAGGATGTTCCTTTTTATAAAGAAAAAAGTCACATTTAGATTAAAAATAGATGACATATATAAACATAAAAGTATAACTTGGGATTTCCAAGTCATCACAGCCATCAAAAATCTCAGTGGCTATACTGTGGTTGGAGCTATAGTTTAACCTTACGCCATTATGTAACCAGCTGTGCCTCATTTTTGTCATTCCAACAGACCAGTCAAAGCAAACTGGGCTTTGTATGAGTCCAGTCTGACCTTAAAGAAACAGGAACTATAATGGTGCATAACAGGCCAGGGGTGATAAGATATGTACAGTAACAATGTACAGTAAGAGAATAATAATGTGCGTTTTGAAAACAAATTTAACCCAGCAGAGTAATATAATATGGATACATTGAGGAAAAAGACCTAAGTGGCAAACTTCAGTGCTCAAGATGGCTGAAAAAAACAACAACAAAAAACCCAGCACTATTTCCAACCATTTGTTCCAGCTCTGGTGTTATGAAGCGATTTATTCCACCGGAGGGTAACAGTGGGAAGGGTGCAGAAGGAAATCTTGAATGATGAAGTGTGACCAGATTAATGGTGTACTGATTTCAGTGAGGTGTAATTCACATGTCAAACTCAATGGGGCCTGAGAGTAATGTTAACATAAACACTGATGTTCTTAAAAGACCCACATGCACATGGCCGGTGTAGTTATAACAACATGCCGTGCGTCTTGATCTCAGCATGTGTTACAGTAACCTTCACAGTTGGCATTGTGGTTTTAAGTTGGCAGCAGTCCGATAGATTTGATTACAAAAGAGTAAAATAACATGTTGCTGTGCAAGTTAAATAGAATAGAATAGACTGGGCTTAATTAAAAAAGGCTTAAGTTTTAAAGCTTCAGCCAGGAGATTACAGGCCGGTGCAATAAATGAAGCAAATAAAGATATATGATACATGAAAGGCTGTAGTAGCTCAAGAAGAGAAGAGGCAACTAATGAAAACAGAATAGTGAATTCATAAATAATACAAATATTTATCCAAGGGTTTAATGTTCTCTCCCTGTTGTTAAAACTATCACAAAATCAGAATTCATCTCTAATGTGTCATTTTTTTTTTCTCTTTACAGGGATCTGAAACCTGAAAACATCCTTCTGGATGACCGTGGTATGTCCTAGCTCTTTTTTCACTGTTGCTTTCTTGTTTAATTTACTTCACGTGTGTTCCAAAGACATTTTTTTGTTTTGTCGTTATTTTTTTTCTGTAACTTGTGGCTCATAATGTCCAAAACAAACACGTACTTTGTAACTTGTCGTGTTCATAATGTTCAAGCCCAGCAGCAGAATGTCTCCCCATCTTTTGGGGCTGAAAAGTCATCTCAAGTTTCTCACATCACGCTCTTTCCTCTGACTCACACTTAGATCATTTATTCTCTAAATTGGGCATATCTTGAAATTGAGGAATGTGCTCATTTTTAGCACCGCTCTTTCCCCCTCGTTCTCCTTCTCCCCGCTTCTGTTCAAAGTCAGTGTAACGTGGCCATTTCCACGGCACTGTGGATGTCTTGTGTGCATGTTGTCGTGTGCCTTGTAAGTTATAACTTGAAAATTATTGTTAAGAAAGCATGCATTTAAATCTGAAACATAAATTGAACACTCTCTCATTTTGCGATTAATCTGTGGGTATCGTTTAGGACATATTCGAATTTCAGACTTGGGCCTTGCTGTGCAAATCCCTGAAGGGGAGACGATACGAGGGAGAGTAGGCACCGTTGGATACATGGGTAAGAACTGGTTCCTTTTCATTGCATTGTGCCCAGTGATGTCGATCTTCCTCCTCCTTTTTGTTCTCAAGTCTTTGCTCAGGGCACTGATTTAGCAAAATCACAGCACTGTTCTGCTAACTTCTCTTCACATGTATTGGGTTTCCTTATTTGAACTTCAGCATCTATCTCAGTTCTCCTTATGCCTCCGATACACTGGAAGAGTTTGACAAGACTTGTAAAAGACCAAAGTCTGGCACATTCTCACATCTAAAAACAATGTGCAAGTATGTTGAGGTGATTGTTGTAATTGTGAAGTCATGCTACATAAATTAAATTGAACTGAATGTGCCATATGGTACAGTCGAGACAGAACAACCTATGATAATATTATTCTGTTTTATTGTATTGGACATACTGGCAGCTCTTGAGTTTTATGGCCACCTGAGACCTAATGATGAGCATACCACGTCCTCTCATTTTGTGACACTGTCAGTAAAACGGGCCGTGTGTATGGTGGTTTTTTGGCAACGCTGAAATTTCTGGAAAAATGCGATTCGACGTTAAGCCAACATTTCAAGTTCCGATTTTACAGCTGTCTGTCAGTTTTCCTCACCCTTCATGACTCCTTCCCGTTTCAGCACCCGAGGTGATCCAGAATGAGAGCTACACCTTCAGTCCGGACTGGTGGGGGCTGGGCTGTCTGATCTTTGAGATGATCCAGGGCCAGTCACCTTTCCGCAAGCGCAAGGAACGTGTCAAGCGTGAGGAGGTGGACAGACGAGTGCGGGAGGACCAGGAGGAATATTCTGATAAGTTCTCTGAGGAGGCGAAAGACATCTGCAGACAGGTGAGGCTGAAGAAATGACAGCGAGAGTTTTGAGAATAGGTGAAAGGTGGAAGGACGGGAACCAACAAATGCAAATGAAGATACAAAGTGATGTGGTGGCAGCAATGACTTAATATTCAGGTCTTTTTATATAGCGTGTCATTATTGTCATATGTAGCTACTTTTATGTTCTGAGTAGCATTATTTCTTTCTTTGTTCATTTATTAGCTTTTATTTGGTTTAAAGCAAAACTCGTTTGCTGAATTTTACAGTAAAGTTATGTTACTACAAATTCTTAATTTCTAAATTACTATAAGATCTTTAAAGAGGTGTTTTTATTTTATATATTGAGTTAACTTGGACCAAATTCTACACATTAGTTTTTAACTATATTCATTCATTCAGTTCAGGTAGGAAGGAGAAAATTAGTGGGTGAGAAACAAGCCAAGATTACCGTACTGCACATTTTTTCTGTCAGTGTGTGCCTAGTTCTCTGTTTGTGAAAAAGCTACACTGTTTACACTGAGGTAGACGACTACACTGCTCAACAACTTAAGGGAACATTTTATTTGAAGTAAGTTAAACTTCATCTTTCTGTCAAATTAGGAAATATTGAAAAGTTCTGAATCTGGCACCTGCTTTGGTGGCAACAGGTGCACTGGAGAGGCAGCAACCACAAAACCCCCAAAAAAGGGAAAGGGATTGCAGAGACTATTGCTAAAGCAAAACCCTGTGACTGGTTTTGCTTTTTGCCAATGTCCTTGTCACTGCTGTTAGTATGAGACCTGTAACTGTGCCTGTAGCCCATTCATGTTCCACAGTTAGTCCAGCTGTTCCAGAATGGCACCTATGTATCTGCTGTCATAAGAAGCTTTGCAGTGTCTCCCATCAGTATCCAGAGCATTGACCTGGAGAAACTGGGGTTGAGTTGGTGGAGGGTTTATCAGTTTTACCTTCATTTTAGCTGACATAGCTGCTGATCCTGGAAACAATATTCACGGTTCGGTTCGATACTTGGGTGTCACGGTTTGATATTTTTTCAATACAAAAAAATGTTCATGCCTTTTTAATTTGTCATTTATTAAAATTATAAATATATATTTTAACTCAAAAGTACAGTTTTTAAATGTAATGTTGCTGAAACAACAACAAAAAAAAAAAGTAAATAAACCTATCTGATCGAGAAATCACTCATCTTTGGAAAGGACAGTTTATTACAGAGAAATGGCTCTTTTCAAAATAAAAGCTATACTTTACGCTTCTTCTGGGCTATATTCTCAGCAGCATATTAAACATATCAGGTCCCCATAAGGAGAATCAAGTGCTAACGGCTGTGTAAATGACTCGGGTAAAGTTTGTAGCATGCGTGCTTGTTGTTTTTGTCTGCTTCCACTTGTCTTTGCATTAGGATGATGTCGGCGTAAATATCCATCACCGTTAATCTCGTTAAAATGACTTTAACGTCATAACGCGGAAAATCTCTGTTAACGAGTTACCGCGGATCGCCCCGTGCGTGGGGCTGGACAGCGTCAACACGTTAACAAGCTAACTGCGCACTAGTTCCCACCAACTGAGCATTGCGTGGCACATCCGGCATACTGTTTTACTTGTGTCCATGACGCACTTACCATCAGGGTCATGCTCACATGAAAACCAAGATAGTTCCAAACGCCAGATCTGAATGAGGGTGGGGGAGGTTCAATTTCGGGTAGCGTTGAGGCATTTGCCATGTTGCAACGAGCTTAGCTTCTGTCTTGCTAGCTTGCGCTGCGCTCAGTGGATCTGCACTCGACACTGCAGCCTAGGCGGAGTAGTCGAACGCAGATCCACTGAGCTCTCAACACAGACAGCATCGTCAGAAGAAATTGCCATGCCAAGGTATTCTTAGTCTATCTATCGATCCCAATTCACAGGAATCACAATTAATGCTGTAGTATTGGTCAGAATTCCGCTTGCAAACAGTGATCACCTATTTTATCTTGTGCCTCCAGGTCAAGGTCATGCATGTTGTTTTACGGGCAGCCATGGATGCTTTTGGTTGGATGTTGTTTTTTTTTCCTTTTGTGTCATTGTGGCGGGATTGTGACAGTCAGCTTTTGGACGGTATGTTTAAGCATAGTTCTATATGATGTTCCTGCATTCCCTGCCTTTCTTTTCTGCTCTGTGCGCCTCAACACGGCTCCTGTCAAAAATAGACTTTCAGAGGAGTTGCATCTGGTGGAATCACACCACTGGCTTGGGCGAGCACTTTCAGTTTTACTGGCTGGAATTCACTGTAAAGACAAAACAGCGAGCTGAAAAAAGCTGAAAAGCTTTGTTTACCTAATTCACATGATACATGGTCATTTCACCCTGTGTCTCAGTTTGTTTAAGGAGATGAGCTGCTTCTTTCAGCTCACTTAGCTTATCTCCCCCCCCCTCCTCTGTCTGACACAATCTCCATGATGGAGCCACTGAGCTGCTCTGCTTATAAGCAGCATTGGTACATTTTTTTGTGTGACGCCGTGGAACATTGTGACCCACGGTTCAGCAGATTTAAAGACTCCCCAGGGAGAGGAGGAGTTGGGGGAGCAGGGAGACGAAAGGGTTCAGCAAGAAATGGGAGAAAGAAAATAAGGAAGAGGAGAGAATGCAGCAAAGGAGAGGGGTGGGGGACCATATCTGCTGTGCCAAAGAGATGGCTATTACCACATCCCAAAATAGACAAGTGATGTGATTTTTCAAGAGGAGAAAGCGAGAGTGAAAATCTGCTTTGAATCCTGGTGTAAATTGGACGAGAGTTGCACAGGAACAAGAGAAACGAAGGACAACCAGAGAGAGAGAGCGTAAAAGATGTGGTGAAAAGTGAGACGCCGCCGGTTTGGTGGTTGTGAAAGCGATCGGCATCAGGGTGACAACGGGGCCAGTGAGAGTGTCTGCTAGTATCAAACCACTCAACAGCCCTCAATCCGCACCGTCAGCCTGCTGCACTGTAGGTGGTGTGCTGGTAATATTACCCAGAAGTCCTTACAGTGACGCTCTCTAATTCTAGCCATAATAGAGCTGCATTAACCTTTGAGCATATGGATTTGCGTAGTCTTTATTAGATTATGTGGGGTCGGAAACAAACAGTCAAGAGGATTACATGCAACTCAGCTATGTGTGTTTTGTATACACTGAACTGGAGGGATTAGTCGTAAAAGCCTGCATCACAGGAAACCTCCACCCTCTTCTTTGTGTGTGATTTATTAAATGGGTTTTTTAATTTGATGTCCTTTCTAGTGAGAAATGTATAAGGCAATAAAATTATCTACCTCGGTCAATTGAGCCAAATGCAGATCATTCTTGAAGGTTGCAGTGTTTATAAGTGTCTTCCTTCTTCCTCTTCTTTTGCTGTGTCTTAGCTCCTGGCCAAGGACCCCAAGGAGAGACTGGGCTGTCAGGGTGGCGGGGCCATAGAGGTCAAGCAGCACCCCATCTTCAGAAATATCAACTTTAAACGACTGGAGGCCAACATGTTGGACCCTCCCTTCATCCCAGATGTAAGAGCCTCACATCTCCAAACTCACAGTACACACAGGAACATTTCAGAGCTTGGAAAAACTCTGCAGGAAATGCCACTGTCACAGTAAACAAACGCACATAAGCAGCTTGTTATCATGGTGAGAAGTGGGTGTGTAATTTCACTGTCGTTATGTTAGCTGCCCTTCTTTAATGGCAATGATGTTCCCAGATAAATTTAGTTTAACCAGAAACTCTGTAGCACTGTAATTTTGTGTTGGGTTTATGTTTTCTTTAACTGGGATTTAGAGATAAAAAAAAGAAAAAGAAAAGAAAAAAAAGTGAAAGTCATTGGATTTTCAGTGCCGTAAATGGAATGAGGGAGGGAGAGTACTGACCTAAGGGGTTAAATCAATAGTTGAAAATAGATAGTGTTATCTGTGGTTCTATTTTGGGTTATACACAAGAGTAGGCCACGTTGAGGAAAAACAGAGCACTGTGGAAATCCTAAGCATGTGAAGAGTTCATGTTAATCAAGAATCCATCTGATTTCACTTATGTCTGGTTTAGCGTTTCCCTTATCATTCAGACATCACTGAGTCATTCCAATGCTCTCCTTCTTTTTTTCTCTGTTAGCCTCGAGCTGTGTACTGTAAAGATGTCCTGGACATTGAGCAGTTCTCCACTGTCAAAGGCGTGAACCTTGACCCCACAGATGACGACTTTTATTCCAAGTTTGTCACAGGCAGTGTCTCCATCCCTTGGCAGAACGAGGTACTGCGAGCTCAGGCCGTTGAGATGATGTCATTGTTTACACCCACAGCACATAGAAACACCTGCATAAATGATGTGCACTCTGCTTTAAGATGAATTTGGAAGACAGAGTAATAATAAGTGTACATTGCATGTGAAGTTGGCGCATGTGTGTAAGTGCAGGTGTTCAGTTATGTCCTAAATGTCCAACGTGAATGGAGAGGGAATGACAGTCACTCCTACGAAGGAGTATTAAGGCCACGATAAGAAAAAAATATTAACGACCAATTTGAGGATAAAGCTGAAATTTCAAGATTAAAGTTGTAATTTTATTTTGAGAAAAAAGTTGAAATGTGGAGATTACAGTCTTTGCTTCAAGGCAAACTGCCGCAGCTTCTGTACCCTCTGAGTTAGTGAAATCATACTCAAGAATTGGTTTTTGTAAATGGCAAATTTGTATAGCGCTTTACACATCCAGTCATCCACCCATTCACACACTGGTGGAGGCAAGCTACAGTTGTAGCCACAGCTGCCCTGGGGCAGGCTGACAAAAGCAAGGCTGCCATATCGCGCCATCGGCCCTTCTGGCCAACATCAGTAGGCGGTAGGTGAAATGTCTTGCCCAAGGACACAACGACCGAGACTGTCCGAGCCGGGGCTCGAACCGGCAACCTTCTGATTACAAGACGAACTCCCAACTCTTGAGCCACCTTCGCCCTTTCTTGTAACCAAGAAAGAAATGATTTCTCTTTTAGCACATAAAGTGTGGTGATAAATATGAGGACGATGAAAAGATGGTGCAAAAAGCTGCATCTGGTCCGACGGACAAACACAACCTGAAAGAGCGGACAAAAGGAAAGGGCTGGCAATGGACAGATGCAAGGTTATCGATGGTTACACCTTCGTGCAATAAAGTGGATGTATTTTATATCACGAGACGACCAATCAATTTGTTTAACTGGGTGCTCTAAACATTGCGTTTTGTAGAGGGTATAGCAAACATGGCGGTTTGTCTTGCAACAACAACGATAATCTCCACATTTCCCCTTTTTTCAAAATACATTTTTGGCTTTAACCTTGAAATGTAGACTTTATTTTCAAAATGTTCAACATATAAATTTTTATGTGTGTGTTTATTAGCAGGGAGCATCTCAAAAGACTCCTTGCAGCAGATTTGACTACTAACTAATTTCCACTTGTTTGAGGTTTAATTACTCACACTCTCTTTGTGTGTGTAGATGATCGAGATGGAGTGCTTCAAAGAAATCAACGTTTACGAGACAGACGGGACACTGTGCCCAGACCTGGACATGAACCGGCCTAACCCTCCACCAAAGAGAGGCTTCTTCTACCGCCTGTTCAGAAGAGAGGCAAGTGCTAGTGCTCCGGCAACTGTGCGAGGGGGTGGGGGCTAAGGTACTTCCTTTCTTCCTACTTTCCTTGCTTCTTTTTTTTCCCAAGGCCTTATCCAAACTCAGCATGTTGAAATATTATCTCTAAGCTGTGAAACTTTGTTTGAATAAGGCCCGTCTTCTCTTTGTAACCCTTCCTCACTAAACGCTTTGCATATTCTTAAGGGGTGATTTGTGCTTAGGGGATGTGCTAATAGTGATGTAAATTCAGTGATGATAAATGATTCTAACAGCATGTTTGTTTGCAGGATTGTTCAGCTTACAGGGTATTTTCACTATGTCCCTCCTGTTTGTTATTACTGGACCTTATATTGTGCTTTAAACTTCCCTTGAATTCTTGTAATTTCACACAGATTCCTACCTTTTTTGTCACAACTTCTGTTTGATCCCAGAGATTTGAATAAGAAGATACGTGAGCCCTTACTGCCCTTTAGGGTCCCATGGTTTAGGTGGGGCAATATTGTGTGTATATACTGTATCAAGTCATGAAAAAGTATTTGCGCCCTTCCTGATGTCTTCTGGGTTTGTTTGTTTTTTTGTATATTCATCACACTTGGGTGTTTCAGGTTATCAAACAAATTTTAACAAGAGTAAATACAAAAATTCTGGTTCTAAATCATGGGGAAAAAAAGTCATCCAAATATGCCTGGCCCTATGTGGAAAAGTAGCTGCACTGAACATGAGAGATAATAAGGAGAATGAGAGTTACAGATTTTTTTCCCCCTTCCTGACCTGTTTTAGACTTTCAGGTTACTTCCAGGCCAACTTATCTTATTAGTGGAAGCTGTCAGGATCGTAGACGACTGAGATGAAGACTGCAGACACTGTTCTCTGGTCCCTCTTGGATTCAGAAAATGAACATCAGTCAAAGATCAGCCATCTCTTTGCAGTAAAAGATGCCTGCTCACATCTTTAGAGAGAGCTTGTGCTTTAACAGCACACATTTACATAGCAGTCCCACTTGCTATTCTGGTTATTATGGATACGTTGAATTGCATGTCTTGCAGTATGTCATCTTCTAACTCGCTTGCAGTTGAGTATTTTACTAATTCCAGCTTTGGCCCTACCAAAAAACCACATCTAATGTGGTTAAGTGAGGGTTACAGGCAAGGGTGACATCATCTTGCACATGTGAGCTGGTGCAGCGATGCAGGTTTCCAATGTTAGTGATATATCCTCACTTTTACTCCTTCCCAGATCTGTTTTGAGGGCAGTTACAGCGATGACGAGACTGAAGGGCCCTCGCGACTTTAAACCACTCCCTTCACCTGCACCCTTCCGCCGCAGAACTTCTCCACAAACTCCAACCGAGCGCAAATCTTAGGAACTCAGTGAATGTTGACCTGTATTTATGAGCTGTATTAAAAGTGTATTATAATTAAAGAAAAAAGTATGAGTTTAAAGATTTTGTACATTTGTACTTGAATTTATGTCTAGATGTATATTTTCACTAAAGGTTGTATTGTACAAAAAGCCATAAAAGTACCACTTGAATGCATACATTTACATTTTTATTTCCTTTTTTATTTTCTTTTGGAATGAGTATGGATAAAGTGTGTTGGGGAGCTTTTTTTGTTTTGTTTTTAAGAAGCACAGTACCAGTAGTCTTTTTATTTTCTCAATGTAGCATAAGGCCTTTTTGTTTTCTTGTGAGCTGTAATTTTGTCTTTGATTTGGCCAGCGTGACATGTTTTTAGTACATCAGCTCTGCCTGGTTTCAAACTAACCCTAGCCTCCAAATGCCTCAAGGCTCAGGTAGTTCTAAATGAAGTGTGTAGATTCTAATGAAACGGGGTTAAAAATGAATCTAGACTACCGTTGCTAACTTTTCCTGTCTGTTTCAAGGACTTACTGCCCCTGTGTATTTAAATTGGTTGAGGTAATCTGATCCCTCTCTTCAGCCCAGTTATGCAGGTGGCCGTGTAGTGAACTGTCTTCTAGGTGCCTGTACCGACCCAGTTCTAGCAGAGGTGGCGAGTTTACTCCTAATTGTGGTTTATTTAGCACGTGTAAGAGTTAAATAGTAAATATGATATGGTGGAGGCCATTTGCAGTAACATGAAGCCTGATCCCCATCATTACTGGACCTCTCTAGAAATCTTTTTTTCATGAGCTGCAAAAGCTCAGAACATTAATTTTTAGATGCACAGCTATTGAGTAAAAGTCTGTTACATTATTCACTTAGGTTGAATATTTTTGGGGTGATTTATCTCTATTCCTCGTCTTTTTTTCTTTGCTGTGTTCTCTGGCTTTTATTTCCTTTTCTGACTGTGTCCAGTTGTTTTGAATTGTTTAGCATGCATATGGTTTTAAGCAGACCAGAAAGCCTCTGGGTGTTTGGACACATTTGACTGAGTTGGAACAGGAAGACAGATGATAAAGGAGGCGATGTTGAAAATGTAACATAGACCTGGCCTGCAGCTGACAACTGCTTCTTTAAAAAAGAAACAACAACAAAAACTCTTGCGCCTGATCCGCTGGTTCAGATGTCAGCCGTCTTTGGCCTTTGTGCTTGGCTGATCGCTAGTTGGCCTCCATTTATCCTCCCTAGCTATAACTGTTTGAGATACATGTAGAATTTGTTACTGATGATGGGCACCTTTGACTACTATATTCAGAGCTTGGATGTTGCTCTCTCAGGAATGACCTGAGAAAGTTGCTCGTGTGCGCAGATGCCGAGAAATTAACAATCAGTTGAGTTCTGAATTGCAGAAACAAGATTGTTTTACATTTTCCTACAGCCCTGTTTCCTTCCAAGTTAATCAGCCAAGAGCAAATACATTTTCTTTACTTTCCCCATTTATATATATAAAAAAACAAACAAACATGTTCACCATTTGCTTTTTTCTGAGGCATTTCAGACCCATTTTATGAATTTAGCTTTGGAGGCAGTTGCTGTTTACTTCCACCTTCTGTTTTTAATGCTGTGAATACCCCACCTGCACATGTTAGTTTTATGTGTATAACCTAAATGATTAATCAAATTTTTTTCTACACAAAAGCAAAGTCTGCATTTTGTCAATACAGCGCTTCAGAATCATGTAGGAGCTTGATTCAATTCCTAACACTTTTGAAACTGTATACATTTAAAGTGGCACACATATAGGTCCCCTATGTAATTACCTAATTTGGAGAAGTGGCTTATTCTAAGAGTTTGTCCCCTGTTGCACATTCCATTATCAGGAATCAGATGGGTGCATCTAGCTGTCGCCGGCTTCTTGTCATTGAGTTTCTTAGTGTCTTTATTTCGTTTGTTGTTGCTCTCAGGCACATTTGAAGCTGATTTTGCTTGCCTCTGTAGATTTTAGCCTTTTAGCTCTTTAGCCTCAAAAACCTTGTAAATTATGTATTTCTAACATGTAACTGATTCACTCATTCTCACAAGGAAACTAAACTGTTCACCACCCATGACTCTATCATTGTTTTGACCATCTTTACTCTTACACCTTCCATATAGCAGTGAAGAAATTCTGTTTTTCGTTCCATTGCACTAATGGTGTGTTTTGACAATGACTATGGGAAAAGTGTCTTTAAACTTTTGTTGTTTTTATTTTGTTTTTTTTGCCAGTGATACCAAAAGCGACATAAACTAAATTAGAATTTCTTTGTTATCTGAAGAATTTAGTAGAGAAAGACTGACAGCCTTTATTAAATGTGCCAATAACCAAGTACATTTTTGACATCCTGCCTTTTTTCAGCCTCTTTATCCTTCCGTCCATTCTTAGAGAAATCCCTTTGCGTAAAGGAACTTTAAACAGCTCAACAGTTTTGAATGTCCGCACTAAGTGCATTGTAATGCCTGTTTAGAAAAATGCATATGTTTTATTACTCAAGCATGTATCAGTTTGTAATACTTCAGGTTCCTTGTATATGTAAATTATGACCTTCTAGTGCCAACATATCTCACTGGTATCTGAGGACATCTTTATGAATCGCAAGGCGACCAGCTGAGTCTTTGAATTCATAAAGCGCATTCCTTCTCTTCTGCCTTTCCTCCAAGACTCTGATGGTGAGTCAAGCCACTTCCCGAACACTGGGATGGCGCTCACCAGCGACGTTTCGAAGCGCAAGTTATTTAGTTTACTCAAGTCTAGCTTTGGGATGACCACCGACACAGGCTGGGAGGTTTTGCGGGGTTTCACGTTCTTTTGTCCAGATTTGTCAGTTAAGTAATATTTTCGAGAAAGGGAGAAATGATGGATGGATTATGGGTTTTCAAACTCGGCCTGGGACTTCTTGATTTTTCTTCTTTATTTTGTATCTGTACAGTCATGTCGTTCAACCACTGCAGTCATTGTTAATTCTTGTACAAGTTGTATCACTGGTTGTTGTACCATATCTGACATTTGTAATTATGAAATAATACACTGCCATTTGTATAAAAATACTTGTGTCTTGACTTATTTGATCTGTGTTTTTTGTTTTATTACTGTGAATAAAAGGCCATCGATTGGAAGAGTATAAAATGTAATGATCTAGTGCTGGGGGGGAAAAAAGTATCCCCCCCCCCTTACTCTTTTCTTATTTTTTGCATATTTGTCACCCTTAGATGTTTCAGCATTCATCAAATTTTAATGTAAGACAAAGATAACCCAGGTAATTACAAAATCAATTTTTAAATGATTTCATTTTAAAGGCATGATGAAGCTAGGGATGGGAATTCATAAGAATTTAGCAATTCCATTATCGAT